CAGAAAGCAGTGGAGACACTAACTTTCTTTCTCCCCTGACTAACCTCAGCTTCTATCTCCCAGTGAAGTTTTAGCAAGGTAATATCTGCAGATATTTTACCTCATAGCCAGTTTCACTAAATTTTGCAAACAGGTCCACATAGCAGCAGATAAGTGCCTAATTGATTTGAAAAATGAAGCTGAACTGATTGTGTTAAAATTGAATTTACTGAGAAAAAGAGACCTTGGGTCCTAGAGCTGTGATCTCACATATCCAAAAAAAGAAAAAAAATCCCCTTTTGAAGGAAGTTCAGTACAGCTATTCAGGAAGCTGCAGGGAAATGAGAAGTTAGTCAGAACTCAAAAATGAGAGATGCAGTTACGGGAACTCAATTACTGCAGGTGATACGGAGATTATACCTGGACATCATATTGACAGCCCAAAGCCAATGCCTAGTACCTCTTCAGCAGGTTTGAGATCAGGCAAAAGGAAGCTGGTGTGGCCAAAATGTAAAACTAAAGGGATTATCACTGAAAGGATGAAAATTGAAAGGTCTATGACCTCCATTAAGTGCAAAACCCCCAAAACCCAATGCAAAAAAGACTCTCAGAAACAACTATTTGAAGCCATCAGACATAGTTTTTAAATTTTTTTCTATGCAGACTGAAAGCAGAAGCCTCTTCAGAGATTTTGAGGATAACTGAACACCAGGGGGAAAAAAAGGAGCAGTCAGAGAGAAGAGAGAGATTGAAACAGAGGTGGACAGTGAAATTGTTCCTTGACTGCAGCTGGTGAGAAGAGATCCAGTAGCTAATAAGTGTCTACCAGGCTGTGAGGAAATAGCTCAGCCCCTGCACAGACAGGAAGGATCAGGACGCTACAACTCTCACTGCGTGTGGCATGAGACTGACAACTCTGGCCAGAGCTGTAGGGTGAAGTGACCTCTTCTGGAAGGTGGAGAACTCTGCTGATGATGGAATAAACTGAGTGCAATGAGGAGGTACTAGGAGACCTAGGAAGAAAAGCAGTCGTGAAAGCTCAGAGATGAGGGAATTACACTGGTGAGGGCATTCACCGGTGAAGGGGAAAGCAGGGAAGAACTGAAAGAAGGCCAAGAAAGGGAAGGTATTAGTGAAAATCCACATTGATCTCTGGCAGGCGGCAGCAATCAGCATAGGCAGGCCTCAGCACCAACACTGCCTCCTGACAAAGACCACCTAGGGTTACCCTCTAGCACTTTGACCAAGTCCAATGGTTCGTGGAGGGAAGGGAGCTTAGAAAATGTGAGAAAGCAAAGTAGGGTTTGTGTACACCCTCGTCCCCATTAAGTTTTAGAAAGAACAGGTTCAAGCAGAAGGGAGCATGCCCAAAAGCCAGCTGTACTGAGAGATGAAATTTGGTCACTTTTGCAATGGGAAAAAGACATGTGTTCTGTGATGAGGGGTTCCTAAAATACCTCAAGTACAGGCAGTTTTGGAACAGGAAAAGGAAGAATAGTACCCAGAGAACCTTCAAATAGATAAGAATCCCTCAAGAATCCCTAACCCGCTTCTTTCCACAAACTGTTAACCCAGGACTGCTTTCTCAGAGGAGGGATATGTTTTCCTCCCCTAATTAACCAGTCATCCAATCAAGGCCAACAGAGGACACAACCATATGCATTATCCCACAGCTGTTCTGTGTCATTTATGGAGAACATCACACCTTCACCTCCTTCCTCTTTTGGGACTGAGGCACAAATCTCAAGGCCAGAAATTGCTGAAGATTAGATACAGATGATACTGTAGCTGCTTGCCATAGCTACATTACACTGAATCCAAGACCTGGGCCAAATCTAAGTTCTGGGTTGCCAAACCCAGTGACCTGTTTCAAAAACAGGAGCATGAAGCCTGTGGCCTTAGAGAGAGCACACAGCATCTGTATGGACAAGCTATGGCCACAAAAGCGATAGTTATGCCTTCACACAGAGACAATCCTTCATATTTTCTCATCAGTATCTTCCCAAAGATCATATAAAACCTAAATTTACCTTGATATACCTCTGACCCCAGGGGATAACAGCTTTGCTCCTAGATCTGAAGGAAAAGCTATTTTTTCCTAGACTGCAATAAATAGATGCTAGAACCTAGCTAGGAGGAGTTCATGAAACCCAGTGTTTACTGGTGTCTTCTCACCTTGCAGCAGGCTGCAAAACCTCTGGGGTACTTCCAAGATAACGTTGTACAGAACTCGGCTGTCCTCACACAGGAAGACTGAGCAAATGGGCCTGTGCAAGAAGAAATGGCTTTAAGTAGACTCAACCAAACCAAAGACATAAGTGTGGCACAGCCCTGAGCACATTCTCCATCTTCTGAGAGTTTGGCTTCCTGCCTTGCTCTGACTCCTTCCCCTTGCTCCAACTCTCAGCTCCCAGCTTACCCTGCCATTCAGAGCAGCGAGACCTTGCTGCTCCCTGACAAAAAGCCCACTCTGTTGACCTTACTTATCTCTGCAGCCAGCACAGGCTACTTCCCATTTACAGGGGTTGCAAGAATCAATTCTGACAAACTTCCACGGGATGTAGAAACCACCCCGACTAATATGCTAAATAGCGGGACAAGTGAAAGTTCTCCCATGTGCTAGTTTTATCCTTGTACCTACAGCCAAGCCTGTTCCCACAGGTAGGGTAGTTTTTTGTTTGTTTAAAACACTGGGAAGACTCTTATGCCATTTTTATCTCCTTATTCTGGGCTATGCCTAGGATAGGCTGAATCTCCATCAGTCCTAAAGCTGCTCTTGTCCAGACTGCAGGCCACGCTGCAGAAGCAGGGGCTTGTTGGAGACTCAACCTTCAATCCGCAGAGAGGCCAAAGCAACAACAATTCAACAATGTAGAAAACTCGCAACATTCTTTTCCCCGACATTACTTGTTTAATTACCATTTTTGCACCAGTACATTTTATGTTTTTTGCACTAGTACATCTTATGCTTTATATACATATATTTTTTATTTTTACTTCTTCAACTATTCAAATACATAGCATATTATCTCCAGAATACTAATTAAGACAGAACACAGAATAAGAGGCTCCTGGTTGGTTGCTAATTGGTGCTATGAACTTCCTTGGTTTGGGGAAATGATATGTACTTGAAATGACATGACCTGACAGTGACGCATGAAAAAGTTAAGACAGCCAGCAGAGGCCATGGCTTAGCCCAAAGAACGCAAGGGAGGAAAATGGACAGCTAGCAAATCACAAACTCAGAGGCTGGGAGCTGATTTACAGCCAGACACGGGAGTGACTGGTGCAGGGAGGAAGCTGGGGGAACACCAAGAGAGACAAGGGTATTAAGTGATTGAAAATACATCCAAGAACAGTCTGGTCTCCACTTCAAGTGGAGCTGCAGCAGCTTTAGAGCTACTTAAAAACAAAAACAACTTAAGTTTCCCCAAGGAATGGTATAAGCAAAACTTTGTCTCCAAAAATGCCCTCAGTGTAGTATGAAGACAGAAAGATTTGCAACTACAAGGCGTAAACCACTAACTACTCTTATCTTTTAAGAGCCTCATCATGAAATTTTAGCCCCAGATGGCAAAATTACACTCTGCAAGGGTTCTGTACAGTTTATTCCAGTTACAAAAATATTACTCCTGGTTGAGTATTCAAAATAAGAAGCCTTCCTGTGAAGTACAAAACTCTCGTGTTCTATGAGGTTGGTCAGAACTACAGGGAAGTCACTGAGACCATCTTCACTACTAGTGTTTTTGCTAATCAGCTGGCATGGTAGGGCTGATGTTTTCTAGCCTGCTCTGGAGTGCTGTCCACGTAACCAGCAGACTCACACCCTGCATCACATCCACAGCTGCTGCAGGTGGGAGAGTTCACAGACTGAGGGAGCCTAAGGAATCTCTCACAAATGGAATAGGAGACACTAAGGCCTTTCTGCCTCAGACTTTCTAACTCCCTAGAACACACAGAAAAGTAGATAACCTTCAGGACACACTAAAAAAAAGAATCCAACAACCAGATCGCATTTCAAGAAACTCAGCCTCAGGTCTTCCACAAGAAGGAAATCGGGTGGGAAAATGTAGCTGCCACAGCTCTCCAGCTTGGGCCTCCTATACATTTCTTGCCCAAATGATGAGTGCAATGAGGGACTGTCCCTTCACTAAAAAATATCCCATTTTCCCACGGTGGTTCTCACAGCTGTGGGAGTGCAAATTTACAATGTGTTCTGCTTGACAAACACGAAGACAGGGCTCAGGACATGTCATGAAGTGCAGAGAGGGAGTCGCCTTGTTATCACCTTGTGTAAGTAACTACTAAATTATAGAAAGGCTTCTCTCTCTTCCATTTTGTTTGCTTGTTTTAAAACTACTCCAAATTAAAACAGCCCAATGACATGGGCACCTTTGCATGGTAGGGGGTGTGTGAAGGGGAAGTGATAATGAGAGAATTTCCTCCACTGAACCCACAAGTCAAACAAGGAGCTCACGATGGCATGCCCATGTGGAGCCACAACACAGCAGCAGCAGCACGTCTGCTCCGTGTCCTGCACACTCTGCCCACAACAGCACAGGAACCGCCAGCGCTACCAAGAATCACACCAAGCAGAGGAAGGTTAGTGTAAGCATGGGCAGGTTCACTCCTCACCATGGAGAGTTTTGTGCTGAGACTTAGCAGAGAGATGGACAAAACCCATCTCCTTGCAGCTTCCATTTGTGAGTCGCAGCCAAACACAGCTGCCTTCAGCACAACAGGCCAAGCTGCATAGACTATAGTCACTGCTGAAAGCAGCCACAGAAAGCAACAGGCCATAACCAGGGAATTATTAGAGGAAAAGGAACTCAGATGCACCTACCCAGCCTACTCCTGTACCAGCCTTCCTCAGCATTCTTGCTTTCCCTGTATGGAGACATGGGGGGAAAAAAGAGCTAGGATGTGCCATGTAACAGGCAGGTGGGTAGAAGAGATGAGGCTACTTCTCCTTGCCCACCACACAAGCAATCAGCATGTTCTCTTTAGGTTTCAGCGTGGGATTAAATTAGTACATTTTGACGGAAGTGAAGATCTATTTTAAAAAGGAGGGATTGTCCCAACTTGTTTTTGATTGAAGACTAAAGAGTTTTGTATCCCCTTCTGATCCCATTTGGTGTTTCTGGAGCCTCTTGGTCACCAGTTTGTTCCATTCCATTGCTTTGACCATTCAGAACTGGACCCAGTTGGATTGTTGAGGAGCCTGATTAGGAACAGCACTGAAAGAAATAAAGAAATGAAGGACAATCAAAGAAGCAGATCTAATACCAGATTTGATAGCCCATGTCTCTTCCAGTGCCCTCCTCCAGACTCTGCCCTTATTGTGTGCTGTTTCCTCCATTACAGTTTACCTGGATGCAGTGCTGAAGTCTCCCCAGAGGTCTGCAGTAGCTGGTGCCTTTGATGCAGGTACAGGTGTGCCCAAGTCTAACAGAATATCTAAGGCAGGAGAGAGAGAGGAGGGAAGGAAAAAAAAAACAGTCAAGAGTAATCAAGAAGAAAACAAAACAAGCAAAGAAAAATCCTACAGACTTTTAAATTGTCGCCATGCACAACCTTTCCTCATTGGTGTGCCCAGTGGCACAGCATCTTTAAACAGACTCCAGCTCCCCCATCAGAAAGAGGATGTTAAGAGTTTAAGGACTAAGTTTGTAACAACAGCTCCTTTCCTTAAGTGTGCACTGAGCCTCCAGCATCATCTTCAGGAACTAGTCAGTCCCTACCTATCACAGTCCCTACCTATCCCTACCAACACATTACCCCTCCCAGCAGACATAAGACTCAGACCCAGCACTATTGGCCACAGACATCACAACAGTTGCCAAATCGGCTTTGTTACCAGTGTGAATCACTAAGCAGAAGGTTGTGGCTTCTTTTCATTCAGATCTGTATATGTCATTGCTAAAGTGTCTGCCTTCTTCATACACATCTACATCTAGAAAGCTTCAGCAAGGTCTCTAATTTATGCCCAATCTCACTATACTTTGCACCTCTTTCTATACTTTGCATATCATAGAATCATAGAATGCTTAGGATTGGAAGGGACCTCTAGAGATCATCTAGTCCAACCCCCCTGC